TTCAATATAACACATCTAGACATTCAAAAAATTAATTTCTTTTGTTATGCTTTGCAAATATAATTTTTGTAGTGTGAAAGATAAAAGACTAATTTACTTTAGTAATACAAAAAACAAGGAAGCAACATCGATTCTGATTATACATTTAGAAATTCATTAAATATATTGAATACATTGAAAGGATTAATATTAAAACAAGTTCAAATGTGGTGTAGTGATTAAACATCTCATGCATGTTGCTAGAGAGGTCCAGGCTCTAACGTTGGGATATGGTTTTTGAGTACAGAACAAAAATCTCACATGTTTCATCAAACCGGATCGGTTTCTGGTTCAGCCAGTCTACCCCGTGAGTCAAATGAGTCCTTTTGAGTTTGTTACCAATCCAATTCATTAAGCAGTTGAATCATTAGGCTAATTCGGATCGAGTTTAACAACTATAATCTGTGGGTAACCCTAGCTATACGTGTGTCTTTGTAGTAGGTGTGTATGTATTATGAACCTTATATCAATCACATATATCTGACTTTTAATCTTTCTTTCATATACAAAATAAGTCATTGGAATCTTTACGATTAAAATATTTTAATAATTATTTTTGTCGATTTGGAAAGGCACACATTTTGTTTGTCAGTATGTGAGTTCATATGAATTAATCATCTGTATGATGTACAAGGGTAGCACACATGAAAGTTTAGACAATTCTCTTATCAGTTAAGTATAGGTGGATGTATTGTAAATGCGAGCTTAGACCATTTCCTTGAATTGAATAGTGTGGGACAATTTTTGTACATGCTTAACTGAATTTTGTCTCTAAATTATACTTTCATTTTACTGGAACTTTTTTCTAGGAAATTATCCAATTGGAAAGTACTCAGAGAAAAAGATAATGTGGAAACTTTTAGAAGTCCAGTCATTTTGTGAGCTCTAAGATAATCTCCAAAATTCTGGCAAATTGGCTCAACAGAGTCCTTCCAAACATAATTTCTCCCTTTCAATCAGGATTTGTTCCGCGGAGACACATGAGGATAATATTTTGTTGGCTCAGGAAATATTGGGGGATATAAATTGGAAAGGCAAAGAGCCGAACCTAGTCCTAAAACTTGACATAGAAAAGGCCTATGACAAGTCAGACTGGTCCTTTCCAATGTCAATGTTAAGGACTTTTGGATGTGGTAGATGGTTTATAAACTTGGTGTATCGAATATTGTCTAATAATTGGTTCTCAATTTTGTTAAAGGGGGAGCGAGTAGGATTCTTCAAGTCATTCCGGGGGGTGCAGCAATGTTATTCTCTATCTCCTGCTTTATTTATTGTAGCTGTGGAGCTCCTGACACGGGATATTCACCGCTTGTTTACTACGGGGAAACAAATGTTTTATCAAGCCTCTGGAGGGCAGGTCTGAATACTGTCTTTTGCTGATGATACAATGATTTTCACAAGTTTTCTCGGCATTGCTTGGAAAAGTTGAAAGGGTTTCTGGATTTGTACCAGCAAGTGTCGAGGCAATGAATAAATAGTTTAAAGAGTGCCTTCTTTTGGTCTCATTCCATGCCGCAGTCGAAGATGTATCTTGTTCAGTCAATGCTAGGTTTTGGTAAGAAGCAGCTTCCTATTAGTTATTTGGGGGTCCCTCTATTTGCGGGGCATTTGAGAAGGAGATTATTTGAAGGTATTTTCGATAAAATAAGAGCCAGGATACAAGGTTGGACCTGCAAGATTTTATCACATGGAGGGAGAATTATTCTGCTATGCCATGTTTTAACCTAAATGCCGATATATCTTCTACAGGTCCTGGCACCTCCAAAGACGTTCTTGCTTTTGGTTGAGCATTTATTAAACGGGTTTCTGTGGGATAAAAAAGCGGGTGATAAAAGAATTCATTGGAAGGCATGGCAAGGACTTTGTTTCCCGGTAGAGGAGGCTGGTTTGGGCTTTAGGGATTTTGCAACAATGATTGAGGCATTTGGTAGTAAATTATGGATTTGTTTGCATTCTGGAGGTTCACTATGGGCTGATTTCATGCACCAAAAATACTTTCCCCTTGTTCACCTAATTTTGGCAGATGGGTCTAAGGGTTCTAGCACTTGGCAAAGGATTTGTAGGGCACGCTGAATGACATATTTTTTGGAAGCTTGGAGAGGGTAGAGTAGACTTCTGGAGGAACAAGTGCGTTTCTTGGGAGCCTTTAGGGGATATTTGCAAGTTGGGGTTTTATCCTCAATTTGTTGTGGCTGATTTCTTCCAAGACTCTACATGGAATGTTGATATGCTAAAGGAATGGTTGCCATCACAGGTGGTGGAGGCGGTTTTGGAGGTGATACCTTAACGGGAAAGTAAAGACCTCTTAACATGGAATGCTTCTCCTTCTGAAGAATTTTCTTCAAAAACTGCTTATGAATTGGTCCGTAAGAAGAAGAACTCTTCTCTAGTGTTGAGATCGGTTTGTAATCCTATGATGCCGTTGAAGTTTTCCTTCTTAGCTTGGAGAATTTTGAACAAATTTCTTCCACTGGATGTTCAGTTACAACAGAGAGGGATCACTTTAACATCAAAATGTCACTGTTGTGCATCCAGGGAGACGCTGCTACATGTTTTCTTTGATAGTAAGATGGCACAAGAGGTATGGGCGTATTTCTATGTAGTATTTGGAATTGTGAACATGAGACACTCCTATTTCCATGCAACTTTAATGCACTAGGTTCTATCATCTCCAAAAGGTCACCCACAACATGTTAGAGGTATAGTCCCATCGCTGATTACTTGGTGTATTTGGTGTAGTCAAAATTCAGCAAGATTTGAGGGTGGTGTAATAGATTCCGTGGACATCATCAGGGAGGTGCAGTTGTTAGGAAATTGGTTTAATTTTTTTAGTAAAGATTCTTATTTGGTGTGGGAAGTAACTAGTTTCTTAATTGGATTTAGTTACTTGAAGTAATAGTCAAGTAAAGCCCTATTTAGCTAGAATTAGATGCTATTTTCTACTCTATATGAGTTTAGGAAATAGTATTGGTTTCCAATTGTTATTTGGTTTTTTGGCAGTAATGTCCTCTATAAATAGGTAGATTTGCATACTACGAAGACACACAAGAAAAAAGTGAGAGAGTTCTTAGTGGGTGAGAGGGTTATACAAGAATTGGGGTTTGGGAATTAAGTTGTAATTTTGTGGTGTTTTCCTCTCATAATAAGAACAAGTTTTTCTCTCCGTGGACGTAGGCCTGGTGATTAAGCCGAACCACGTTAATTCTTGTGCGTTGCTCATCGTTCGTGTTAGATATAGTTTTCTATTAAATTGTTGGTCTTTTTCTTTTCAAATAATTGGCCTGATACCCTAACAAGTGATATCAGAGCTCCGTTGGAGTTTTGGTTAATTATTTGAAATTGAGTGAGTGGTTGTATACCATAGGGTTTGGAAATATACAGTTTTCAATTCAATCGTTTATGGAACTACAAGTTTCACTCTTTGGCAAAGAAGAGTGAAGGATGTTCTAGTTTAACAAGGCTTGGCAAAAGCGTTGAATGGAAAGAACAAGAAGCCAGAGAGCATGAAGGATGATGAGTTTGAGGAGTTGGACGCAAGGTGTGCGAGCACGATTCGACACTATGTGGTGGACAACATCATAAATAATGTGATAGATGAGAAAGATTCTGCAGCAGACCTCTGGAAAAAATTGGAAAAGCTTTATTTGGCTAAAAGCTTATCCAATGAGTTGCATCTAAAGCGGCAACTTTATGCATTAAAGATGGAGGAGAGTGGCAGTTTCATGGATCACATGAATACGTTCAACGGAATTTTGGATCAACTCCAAAAGGTTGGCGTAGATATTGAGGAAGAAGATAAGGCCCTCTTACTTCTTACCTCAGTCTTTGATTCTTACGAAAGTGTCATGACAACCTTGTTGTATGGGAAGGACACTTTAGAGTTCGAGAATCTGCAGTCTTTTTTGTTGGATCATGAAAAACAAAGGAAGGCAAACCAGGATGTGACACAAGAAGCTGCATTAATTGCTCGAGGTGAGAGTAAAAGAGGAAAACAATTTGGCGGTGAATCTAAGGCAGGTGGTTCAAAGGCCAAGAGAAAAGGTGGAATCCAGTGCTTTGGTTGTCATGAGTTTGGCCATATCAAAAGATATTGCCCTCATCAAAAGAAAAATGATGAGAATGACTATGATGGTGTTGCTGGATATGCATCGGGTAAAGATATTCTCACAATTTCCAAAGGTAATAATACTTCTTCTCGTGATGGTTGGATTTTAGATTCTGGATGTGTTTCGCCTGTTTGCTCTAGGTTAGACTATTTTGATACTCTCCAAAGAAAGAAGACATGTTTTATGTCGTTGGGTGATAGATCTACTTGTCAAATCAAAGGTGTTGGAGTGGTGAAAATCAAAATGTTCACTACAAGAAAATTGTTCATCAGTGACAACACAAAGTCATCACAGAACATACAAATATCGTCACAAATACCTTATATTGACGACTTTTTGATCGTCACAAAGTCGTCACTAAATCCCCGTCGGTAAAAGTAAACAGTGACGACCTAAAATGTCGTCACTAAATAGTTGTCATTAGTGACGACTTTAAGTAGAGTATTTTTGACAAAAGATCAAGTCGTCAATAAAACACTTTCAGATTGTCGTCACTAATGACAACTATTTAGTGACGACCTGATTGTCGTCACTAAATAGTGGTCATTAGTGACGACAATCCGGAAGTGTTTTATTGACGACTTGATCTTTTGTCAAAAATGCTCTATTTAAAGTCATCACTAAAAAGTACTGAAAGCCATTGTATATAACTATTTTACTGACAACAATTGTTGTCACAAATGTCGCTTAGATTTAATGACAATCTCTGTTGTGACAAGGAGTTTTTATTTTCTATTTTGTGACAACTTTTTTTTGTCATTAGATAATTTCTCAATAGCTTAATAGTCATAATTTAGCCTGTAATCATTGCTAAATCATTGATTTTAAACAAACCATACAAAAAAACATGAACGATTGATAACCAAAAGTATTTGCATTAGATTACATGTTAATAATATAGCAGTCTCAAATGCCAAATTCAAGTGTACATTACCCAACTAATGCCTACAAAAATAACATTTGTCCAAAATATCACTTGTACATAAGGTACATTTACAAAAGCAATCACAGTTTAAGAAATTGAAAAACATCTAAATGAACCACTCCATGAGCAAAAGGCAATTTTGTCTTCAACATTCTTCAACCATAACCATAGATATCTTCCAAAAGCTAGTATGAATAGCATTTATCTGTCATAAAAGAGTAAAAGAAGTAGGTAAGGGGAGGAGTACAATAATAAAGAACAAGTAATGGGACTTAGATTATTAAGACAAAAATTACAATTCATTAAGAACCTCATATAATTTGGGCCCACATATTACAACACCAGCAAGAAGTTAGAAATCACAGTCCAATCTATACAAATACAACACTGCATAAGCTCAACTAAAGAGCTCTCTAAAACAGTTTTTTTTTATTTTCTTTCTTCTTCTTTAAATAGCTCAACTTATTGAACAATTAAATTGGACTCCCACAGTAATTATTGTTTACAACTAGAATCGATGCCTGCTTGCAGCTTTTCCTGCCCCTTCTCATACATTCAAGGGAATGGGAAATGATTGTGGAAGTAGAAAAAGTACACAACTTTCCTACAAAACATTCATAACATACCGCTTTGACGCCAGCTTCTTGCACGTATGCAATATCAGCAGGTGTAAAAAGTCCAGACTCACCAACGACCTAAAGATTTTGAAGACAGGAAAATGAATACATTGGTGATTAGACAAAATAATATGTGAGGCAGTCATGTGCCTCTGTCAACAATTTAACAAAGAAGGAGAAATCTTAAAGGGCATGAGAAAAGTGCAGAAATAGGATACTCACAATTATGCCTCTTTCTCGGATTATTCTCCCACGTTCTCCTTGAAGAAGATTTTTAGTATTGCTGATGTCAACCTTAAATGTTTCTGCAGATAGACAAAGCTAAATTAACTTGCAAGACTCCAACAAATGACTTGTACTGATTCTGTAAGCTACTCATTGCTCTTTTAACATTTTTTCTAGGTTGTGCATTTTTTATCATCTTCATCCTTGTTCTTTTCGGATTTATAGCTTGTTTCCACTCACCCATCCTCAAGATGAGCACCTTTACCCATTGTTACCTAACTCATTTTTTCCTGACTGACTGTTTACGAACTACCATTCTAAGAGAAAAAGGTTATATCATGCAACCATATTGAATATCAGCACTAAGCAAGACGAGATATAACTAGGAAGAGTATCCAGCACCAGATTTTGGCATCTAGCAATTGGTGCCGTGCGGAAGTATGTCAAAGAAGTTAATTCCTAGAAAGTTTAAAAAAAAAAAAGGGAAGTAGGGGATTGTCATAACAGAATTAATTTGCTGGTATTATTATTTATAGCATCACAGTGCAAATGATATACACTTCAGCAAATGATTAGCTACTTGAAAATATGTAGGCCTTCTCATCGATGTTAGTAAGAATACAAGGAACTAATTTTTGTCCAAATACAGCTACAATCGAATGTAAACTCGATAGCAGCTTCAGAATCAAAATATCAAGGTATCAAACTTTAAATGCACAATCAAGAAGGAGAAGATTTAAATGATCGATATAGAATTTTCTTTAGAAACATACCGAGGTTACGGTTGTTTATTCCAATAAGTTCAATCCCATCAATCCCAAGAACACGATCCATCTCCCTCTCATCATGTACCTAAAAAATGAGATATGACAAACAAAGGTCAAAATCATTGATACTTCAAACTTTTTACTTGACAAGAAAAACAAAATAAAACCAAAATCAGGAAAAAATAAAACCAAAATTGCTTCAAGTAAAGTACCAAGATAATTATTAGACAGCCTTCATGAGAACAGAAGGACCACTAACCTACATATGTTTAAAAAAGAAATTTTTTCTTCATGAAGAAGACGAAAAACAAACTTGAGATATCATTACAGATTTTTGTTGATATTCCGATTTTTGTACAAATCACAAACAAGAAAATGAAAATTACCCTGACTTAAACGTCCTAAATCTAACACTAAAAGTGAGGAGGGAATTGAGTTCTATTAATTGTTAAGACAGCAAAAGGAAAGAAAGAAGAAAACAATAACCATACCTCCACAGGTGGTGTTAAACCAAGCAATTTGCAGATCTTAGTCATGTATTTGATATCAAGATCTGGTAAAACAGCAGCAATTAACAGGATTGCATCTGCGCCTTTTGTGCGAGCATAGTATATTTGCCAAGCATCTATAACAAACTTTTTGCATAACAAAGGGCACTGCACATGTAAATTGTTTCAGCAATCACTTTCAAAAATAATACTTCGAGCTAATATTCAGCAGAAATATGCATCAAGAAGAAAAAAAATACCTTCACTCCTGAATTCCTTATCTTCTCCAAATTCTCAAAGCCTCCCTTATTTTATGGAGCACAGAAACAAAAAAGTAGTGATGATAATTAGCAGTAAGAATTAACTTAAAAACAAATACATTGACTTGCAGAGACAGGCTTATATGACCCTGAAGAAAAAAGTCACCAAATGACTGAAGAGTTTAAATCCTTACTTGAAAGTATTTCTGGTCTGTTAATACACTGAGGCATGCTGCTCCACCTTTTCATAGGCCTTAGCAATTTCAACCTGTTATGATAGACAACCAAGAATTAATGCAAACAGATAACACTGTCATCTTAAGAATTGTATTCAGATATTATAACCCACAGTAACCTATTCAAATTGCTCATATCTTTTAAGGAATACGTGACTTTGAACTAAATATGAGAACATCCAATTCCAGGTTAGTGAAAGTCCTTAAAGCTTCCACTGATGGCTATGCGCTTTACAATTAGCCTGAAATTGACTCATCACAGTTCCTAATGTCCTACCTGAGCTCGGTCAAGTAAATTGAGAAACAAACCATAGCTAAATGAAATTGTGGTCACCGGCTAAGATCAGAAAGTCATTTAGTGATGTGATAATATGTAGGACAGCCAGGATTAAAAATGTTGTAGAATATGTATATCTAATATCTCCATAGAGTGGTTTAATAGTCTAGTGCCACTTAAATGTTAGAGTAATCAAACGAGGACCATTTATTCAAAAGCAAAACGTTAAACTTATTGTAGAAAAATTAGATTGTTAGCTTATCTATTTCTTCAGTGATTTTTAGAAAAGAACAAAAATTAGATTGCTGGTTCATTTTTTTCTTGATCATCCTAACTGGTATTTTTGGGAAAAGAATAAATATATACACTGTTTAACATGCATACTTCTGAGAATTATACTTGAATAAAATATGACCGATTTGACTTTATCAATTTGTCAACTAAATCCATAGCTTATGCTCCACTTCGGAGGATTAATGCTGTACATAATCAATATAACTATGCTACTTATTAAGCCATCAAAAGTGCAGATTTCAGATATAGGGTGTTAATTTAACCCTTCGATCCCTATATACAAAAACCAGAATTTTCTTTTTAAAAAAACAATACCAGAATTTATTGCAATGCAACTGAAAATATTAGACAAAATAGACCCACTGAGACTAGAGTCTTGGTTGCTGCTAATTCACAAGAACTGGGCAGTGGACATAAATGATTCCTTCGTCCATTCCCTCAATTTCTGTCCCCTTTCATGGCAACCTTATCGGATAAGGGGGTATATACCCAAGAAAACGAAAAAGATTTTGGTCACGGTTACACCTAACTCTCAACCAAGACATGTATTACGTAATTAGCAATAGGGCCACAAAAATTTAATATATCAGTATTTCCAACGACAGCAAACCAAAACCATGGAAGCTCAAAACTTCGCTTACTGGGTAAGCCTACAAAAATTAATTGCGCTGTCAATGAAATAACCTTGAACTACTCACCTAATTGGCCAGTTATTTAAACAAAACTCGATCCCTTCTCTCGGAATGCCCAACATAGGCTTCCATTCCAATTTTCAACAATTCTGTCTCCTCCCTCTTTAATGCATTCCAGAAAATAAGGAGCACTGGCTCCTCGGACCATCCTAAACTACCCTAACCTGTGGTCAGATAACCCGAAATATTGAAGCTAAAACAAGTAGCTACACAGCTTAATCCAGGCGACTCAGTAGCGATAACAAAAAGGATCTTACATATTAGGGATTTGGAAAAATTGGGGAAAATGTATAGGAGAGAGAAAACGAACCTTTCCACCTGAAAACCTTGTACTTTAATGCTGGACAGCCATGGTGATGCTAGTGAGAAGCCAGAGAAGTGTGGGTGAAAGTATCAGGCCGTGCGGAAGCTCTGTTTTGTGCTCAGTACGGAAGCTCTGTTTTGGTGCTTAGTGCAGAAGCTTTTGTTTACTTCAGCTCGGTGAAGGTTTGTCTCAAGTGTTCCGTTGCTTTGGATATTGCTTTGGTCTTGCTTTGGATATTGTTTTTGTTGCGCGGCACTTTCACTATGATTCGATCAAAATTTTGACTTCACTCATTTTCCCTCCATTTGATACCAAAAATCATGTTTTTTTCTAGATTTGTAATATGGTTTGAACCATAGATTTTAATGCTATAGTATTATTCTTTATTTTTTAGCAAAAAATAAAAATTTTCATCAACATAGGTGGCAAAAATTGTTAATTTCATATAATTGAAAATGTACTTTTATAATTTGCTAATATTTTATACTAATTTCTTATAATTGCAGCACTAAAGAACATCTTGTAATTGAAAATAATTAAACTCAAATTATATGGTTATAACATAGTTTCAATAAAAATAATCATTTTCCCAACATTTGAGACCGATCATCATGCTTTTTTTATTTTTAATTTGGTTTGAAGCATAGATTTTCTTGCTATAGTATTATTCTTTATTTTTTAGTACAAAAACACAAATTTTCTTCAATATAGGTGGCAAAATTTGTTAATTACATATAAGTGAAAATATACTTTTATAATTTGCAAATGTTTTAGCCCTGCAATTTTTTATAATTCCAACACTAAAGTACATCATTAATTGAAAATAACGAAAGTCAAATTCTATGGTTATAACAGACTTTCATTAAAAATAATCAAATGCTATTAATAAGACATTATTGTTAAGTCAAAATCAAAGAAAATTTAGTGATGACATAATGTTATCACTAATTTATTCAAGATTATAATGACAAGAAAAGTCGTCACTAATTAAATTGCTAGTTTTTAATATTGTCAATTGCTAGTTTTTAATCCTTTTGTGAAAATATTGATAATGGTTGAGAAATTTTTGTTACATTACTGCAAGTGATAAATGTACTTTTGTTCTTTTTTAAACATTTATTTTAATGTTTAATTTTGTTTAAAACTATTATACTAGTATAGATTTGCATGACAAAACTTAAGTTCTCAATAGTTAAAAAATTCATTACAGAGAAAACACAAAGTAGTAGTTGCAAAATGTGTATAAATTACAGATATTTTAATGTGTATAAATTACAGTTTATTTTAATGTTTAATTTTGTTTGAAACTATTTTACTAGTATAGATTTGCAAGACATAGATTTATGGGTAATTTCTTTTTTTTTTTTGCTTTCACATATTTAATTTATGTTAAATACAAAACCTACCAGTTTCCCTTTCATAAAAATATTAGTGCAACACTTTTTGAATTTTACTTACAAACATTTATGTATTTAACATAAATTAAATGATTCAGAGTGAAATGCCCATAAAGAGCAGAATATTTGTTCATGTAATGGAGGAAACCCACAAAGAGTTGGTACTTTATGGGCCATTTCTTTTTTTAAAAAAATTTAATTTATGTTGAAAAGATAACCTGCCAGTTTTCGTTTTGTAAGAAATCAGTGTAACACTTTTTGAATTTTACTTGCAAACATTTATAAATTTATCATAAATTATATGTTTGAGAATAAAATGCCCATAAAAAGTTGGTACTTTGAATAGATAATACTCATTTGCCCATAAACTACACTCCCTGAAGGCTATTTTGTTAATTACTTTGTAGTACTTTGTTATTCCTTTGCTAATACTACTTGGCATGTAGTACAAAGGATAAATCTGGCATAAATTTCTTATTCCATTGATAAAAGGACCTGCCTGCCTTATAACTATTGTAATGAAAGATATATCTTTAGAGTTTATAACAAATTATTACTTAAGTTTGAGAAAATTATAAAATATTTATGCATAGTTTATCAAGATACCATTCGCAATTTCCTAATAAAAAATAGGGGCTAAATTGTAAAAGCTAGGGTGCCATAATAGAAATAATAAAATTGGTGTATTACATATGGGGGTTAAATTGCAAAAGTTAGAGTGCCATAGTAGAATTAATGAAATTGGTGAATTACATATGGGGCTAAATTACAAAAGTTAGGAAGTAATAATAGAATTAAAGAAATCGGTGTACTACATATGGGGCTAAATTGTAAAAGTTAAGGTATCATAATGGAATGAATGGAATTTTTTACAACATTTGGGACTACATCGCAAAAGTTAGGGTGGCACAGTAGAATTATTGAAAGTGACTTAGAAATAAGTACTTTAAACAGTGACGATTAATTCTTGTCACTAAATCCGAATCGGTAGAGTGACAGTGACGATATTACAAGTTGTCACTATATAGATCATTTTAGTGACAATGTTTTTCAAGGTCGTCACTGAAGACTTAGTTGATTTGAGCAATTATGACAACTATACTTGTCGTCACTAAAAAACCACGTTTTGTGATGACTTTTGTCGTCACTAAAAAATGTTGTCACTAATGACCATATTTCTTGCAGTGTAGTTTGTGACGAAAATAACGGGTCGTCACTAAATATTTAGTTGCTTTGATGTAATTGTGACAACTTTAAATGTCGCGACTAAAGAAGCTCCTTTTGTGACGACTTATTGTCATCACTAAAAAATGTTGTCACTAATAACTTTTTTTTTTGGTGATCAGTGACGACAACAAAAAGTCGTCCGTAAATAGGCCAAGCAATAGTGATGATGTTCTTAATGTCGTCACTATTGTGTGTTCTAAACACTCCCGCGCTCTTGCTAAATCTTGGCGGGAATTTATTAGTGACGACTTTTCTAAGTCGTCACAAATGAGTTGGCTCCCATTAGAGGTTTGTGACGAGTTAGAAAGTCGTCAATAAAGGATCCCCTTTTGTGACAACTTTGTTTCGTCACAGAGAAAAGTTGTCACTGATGACCAATTTTCTTGTAGTGGTTGAATGGAGAGATTCGTTCTTTGGGTGGTGTGGCTTATGTTCCAAAATTACGAAGGAATCTAATTTCTTTGAGCCAGTTAGACTCCGAGGGTTACCATTTTTCCGTTGCAGGTGGAGTCTTGAAAATCACACATGGCGAGACGGTCTTATTGATAGGGAAGAAGTATAGTAATTTATACCATTTGACTACCTCAATGGATTGGGAACGGAAGGGGATCCAGGAATGCTCTCAAATTACAAATGGTGGTGAGAGGAAAAGTCCTGCTATGGGAGAGGGTGAATTGAGGCCCTTCTCACGAGTCAACTAGATGTTGGACTTGGTTAGCTACACACGTTCATTTACCGATTGAATCAGTTGAAAACAAGACCGTCTTGATTCAGGTGTGTAGCTAGGCACCAAGGTACTTGGTGGGAAAAGGCAAATAGAGTTTTTGGGATGGTTTGCTATGTTTGCTAAAAGAAATATTCGACAAGATGGAGATTTGTTAGGAAATTGGCTTAATTTCTTTTAGTCAAGATTCCTATTTGGTGTGGGAAGTAACTAGTTTCCTAATTGGATTTAGTTACTTGAAGTAGTAGTCAAGTAAAGCCCTATTTAGTTAGAATTAGATGCTATTTTTTACTCTATATGAGTTTAGGAAATAGTATTGGTTTTCAATTGTTATTTGATTTTTAGTAGTAATGTTCTCTATAAATAGGTAAATTGGCATACTACAAAGACACACAAGAAAGGAGTGAGAGAGTTCTTAGTGGGTGAGAGGGTTATACAAGAGTTGGGGTTTGGGAATCAAGTTGTAATCTTATGGTGTTTTTCCTCTCATAGTAAGAACAAGTTTTTCTCTCCGTGGACGTAGGCTTGGTGATTAAACCGAACCACGTTAATTCTTGTGTGTTGCTCATTGTTCGTGCTAGATATAGTTTTCTATTAGATTGTTGGTCTTTTCTTTTTTAAATAATTGGCCTGATACCCTAACAGCAGTGGTATCTTAAACTCATGGGCTCAGCTAATACTATCGAAAAGGAACTATTGGAGGTGGATTTGGACTCGGTTGTTGCGCCATTTTTTAAATTTCACATCCCTAAAAAGCTACAATGTATTATGGTGAGATGGATGTCGCCTGTGGTGGGATTCTCAAATTAAACACAGACGCCTGTGTAACTAGCTAGAAGGCAACAGGAGGAGTTGTTTGGGATCATCATTGTAAGGTAATTGTTTGAGATCATCAAGTGGAGTCGCGGGCTTTGCTTCATGGATTAGACATATGTCTACAGAATGGGTTATCTAAGATTCAGGTAGAGGTTGATTATATGGTATTATCTCTTTTGGTTAAGACAAGCTGCTCATCTACGTGACCTCTATGCAACATCATTCATAGCATTAAGTCTCTTCTTCAACGTCTCAACATATTGTTATAACACATTTATAGGGAAGCAAATGCGGTAGCAGATTCTTTGGCTGGATTGCGGATCGGTAGGCATTATTTGTTTGATTCCATGTCTCAATTGCCGAGGGCTTCTCAAACTTTGATAGAACTTGATGCCTCTATCTGTGCGGGAGTGAGATTTATACATATAAGGGAGTAGTGCTCCTTATTTATAGCTTTCTGATGTAACAAACTCTGTATCTATGTTTTTTGACCAATAAAACCTAGGCTGGCTCCCTTCCCCCATATATGGGGTTTTGCCAAAAAAAAAAAATTTCTAGTTATCCCAATGTGACAAAAGCAAACACCAAAGATAAGCAACTTTTATTGTTTTAACTTTGGAAGAGTTAAATAAAGTAAGATATAATCTAATCTTGACCTGAGGGAAGGTTGGGTTGAGTAGTAAGGAGCCAAGGATTGTAAGCCTTTGGTTCAAGACCTCCTATTTACAATAAATAAATAAATAAATCTTGACCTTCGCCATAACATCAATTTGCAAGAAAGACTGCTGGAATGATAACATTTAAAATCATATTAAAACACATGCAAAATGAGATCTCTGTAATGAATGAAATGATTTATTAGAGGAAAGGCTCATTAATAGAGTTTTATAAAGCTTATTAGAAAAACATATTTTGCATAATGTGCAAAACACACACACATACACATATATTTGCTGTTCCATGTTGTTCTATTTGTTACTCTTCATTTTCTTGAAAAGCTTAAAATGTCTTCATGTTTTGTAGTGTTTTTCCAAAGTATCAGAACTATAAAGTAAAAGACAGGGTGGAA